GAGCCGGAGCCGAGCCACAGCCCATGGCCCGTGCGCAGGCAGGTCCTTTGCAGGACAGCCTGGCAGCGATAGGGCTTGCGTGCCGAGCCCCGCGCTGCAACCACCCCCAGCCCAGCCCCAGCCCAGGTCACCCCCGTCCCACGTATACAGTGCAGTACCCTCCCAAACACGGCCAGCGGGGAGCGCGCAGAGCACAGAAACGGAAGAGAAAGAAAGCGGTCAGAGGGAATGCGGCGCACCAGCCGGGCCGGCCAGAGCAATTGTCCTTCCCCCCGTTCCGTCCCGTCCCGCGGCTCCACTCGCTGGCTCCTCCTCTTGTCCGCCGTCCAGGCTCACTGGTCTAAATTTAGCGTCGCGTCGCGAGTCGGCGCTGGCGGAGGGGGGAGGAGGCAAGGCCCCGCCAAACGCAAATAGCCATGGCCACGACAACATGGGCAGGGCACGGCCCGGCACGGCCGCGCAGCAGCACGCCCGCCCCGCTAGCCCCGCGAGCCCCGCTATCGGACCAGCTCCACCCGTCCCCGCCCCGCGCCCGCAGAGTCGAACCGGGTTGAAGTGAACTGACCCGCACCGGTTGCAGGCGCCGCTCGCGAGTGCGCGTGTCCTCTGTGCACACCTGAGCCGCCAGGCAAGCGGGTCTGAGAAAGAAAAAGGCGCGAGCGCGCGGAGGCTCCTGGCCGCCCGCTCGCGCGGTAGCGCCGTGGAGGTAGGCAACCCGCCCGCACCCACGTCCACGGCGGCGGGCGGTTGCCTACCCCACCCCTGGCTCGGCCGGAGGGGCTGCTGGCTGGCTTCACGTCGCTTTGCGCGCCCGCTGCGTCCTGTTGGCCGGGCCCCGCGCCGCCCGCTATCCTGTTCCGGCGGAAGTGTATCGCCCTCGGCTGAACGGCGCCACTTTCGTTTGTTTACGCCGCCGCCGTGTTTTCTCCCGATCAAATCCCGCAGTCAGTGTTGTTACTCTTCGATCGTGTGCTTTACCGTCGAAGGAAAGGAGGGGTGGGGGTCGGACGGAACCCGAAGTGTACTGCGCGGTACCTGTTCCCTCTGGGATAAACAACAACAGCAGCAGCAGGCTCTCCTGGCTGATGAAACACGTTCCAAAACACGACAACGACGAGCGCCACCACCACCACAACGTCCCCACCGCCGCCAAGAGAGTGAGAGATGAGCGGGGAGAGAGAGACAGAGAGCGGCGGGACTATAGGGGGGGGGGGACTTTTTCCTACATCACGCCCGCCTCTGAGAGAGCGCCACCAAACGTGTGTGTGTATACCTTACTCTGCATAGTCGACTTTGGACCCCCTCTCTCTCCCCTCCCCTAACCTCCCCGTGCGCCACGCCCCGCCACACGGCGGCCAAAACTAGAGCGCCATGTTGCCGTGAGTTGAGGCAGTCCCGTCCCGTCGCGCCCCGTCGCCAACTAACTCCAGAAGCAGGGGCAGCACTACCACGGCGCACAGTGCGGCAGATCTCGAAAAAGGTGGACATATTCCAAATTTTCACTTTGTCATACTAACTATTTTGTCTGTCCAGGGCGAATCTACAATGTTCGAAGCATCTAAAACGGTTACTCTCATATTTTTAAGCTATCACATTTATTTTCTATAAGCCCTCAAAAGTGAGTCATCAGAAGCGCAATCGGCGCGCTCCTTCCCGCGCAAATTACACGTATTTTACTACCTAATTTCCATTAAACAGGAGCCTAAATGTAAAATCAAAGTTATCTTTCAAAATATGCAGGACAATTAAAATCAATCTTCCATTTTTAGCGATAAAAATAGTGTTTTTTGGACACCTGCATTGAGACTTCATCTCTTGACCCGATATCTTTGAATTGAGTTATAAAACGATTGCCGCCGATTGCCGCGATTTCGTGCACATTGGAATAAAGTTCAAACATTAGTGAACTGATTCTGACTGAGAACGGCTGCCGCAATCCGCCGCTTTAGTTTTGCGGAGTAAAACTATAGAGGTGCTTTGAGGTTAGGAACATCACTCTGTACATGCCGATTTATGCAGTTTTATAGACTTGTGGCCATCGCACGAGTCTAAAACTCGGTCAGTAACAGATAAAAATACTACCAATCCGTTTCCGAGCTGTTTCCCTTTGATTCACGCCTAATATAGCTGATATTTCAATCTAAAACTGACTCTGTGCACTCACTCGCTACATACAACGGTAAGTGGACTTTTCTGGTAATTTTACACAAAATAGGAGGGAATTCCAGGTCATTCGTGATTCCCATTTAATTAAAGAATATTTCAACACGTTTCTAATAGTGTTTCCTTTGAAAAAAATTAAAAATTTCAATTTTTATACAAAAATATTTTTATAAATCGTACTTTAAAATCGAAATATTAATAGCAAAGGGCATAAAAACTATGCTGTAACTTCCAGAAACAAGGAAAGTCAAATTAAAGTCAAAGGGGTCGTTATTAGAATTATGTCCACCTTTTTCGAGATCTGCCGCACTGTGCGGCGGCGTTGAGGTGTGCCGCGCCGAGCGCCACTACGTCGGGCACGGGGCACGGGGCACGGGGCACGGGCCGCGAGAGAGAGAGAGGTCGACACCCGCCTCAAGGACATCCGCACCGGCCTAAACAGCTGCACGAGGAGCAGCAGCGCAGCACCTCCACGCCGGCGTTGAGGCACGGGCCGAGCGTCACCGGGAGGACAGAGAGGGGTCGGCACCGGCTTCACCTCACTCGCGGCTGTAGGAAGAGCAGCACCATCACGGCGGCGTTGAGGTGCGCGCCGAGCGCCACCAGGACGGGCACACCGGCAGGGCACAGGCACAGAGAGGGGTCGACACCCGCCTCAAGGACAGCAGCACCGGCCTCACAGCTGCAGGAGCAGCTCCCACTCATGTCGCTGCAGCAGCAGCTGCTGCTCCTACTGCTGCTGCTTCGAGCGGAGGGAGGGTAGCCGGGGCGGACGGAACCGGTTCGCCTGCTGCACTTCGCGGTGTTCCCCCTCGCACCGCCCCGCTCTACCCACCCGCCCTCAGCCGTGCGCCTGCTGGTGCCCTGTGCCGCGACTTCTCACAATTTGCACGGAGCGAAAATGCAGCTGCAGCGGCCGCAGCAACGTAGGAGGTCGGTTACATTGCACGAAGATAGCCTGAGAAACTCACGAAACAACGTACAACGCACGTGGAGTAGGGGCATCGAAAACTCTTCCGTTTTTTGTTGTTGCTTGGTTTGATAACATCCGAGGCGGGGGCGGATGGCAACTA